GCCTGCCTCACTCCCCATGCTTCCTAGACCAGATATAATTCATATACCACAAAATTCACCAAATGAAAGTGTGCAAATATACAAGGCTTAGTATATTCAGAAGGTTGTGCAACCGTGAGCACAATCTAATTCCAGAACATTTGCATCACCCCAAAAAGAAACCCTGTAATCTGTCAAGGAGATTGATTCCCAAACTCCCCATTATCTAATCCCTGTAAACCACTAATCTACTTTTAGTCTTTATGGTATGATTATTCCAGACATTGATGTAAGTGAATTATACAATATGTGGTATTTTGTGTCTGGCTTCTTTTACTTAGCATAATGGTTTCAAGGTTCTTTTGTGTTGTAGCATGATCACTATTTCATTCCCCTCTGTGACTGAATAATATTCCATTGTATGGCTATACCACATTTTTTAATCCATTCATTGGTTGATGGACATCTTGGTTATTTCCACTTATTGGATATTATTAATGATTCTGCTATGAATATTCATGTACAAGTTTTTGTGTGGGCATATGTCTTTTATTTCTCTGTATATGCATAGGAGTGGGAGAAACTTCAAGATTGCTTGCCAGAGTGGCTGCATCATTTTGAGTTCTCACCAACAGTGTATGAGAGTTTCTGTTTCTTCACCTGTTCACCTAAACTTATTATCTTTTTTATTATAGTTTTCCTAGTGGGTGTGAAGTGGAATCTTACTGTGGTTTTGGTTTACATTTTCCTGATGGTTAATGATGCTAAATATCTTCATGTGCTTTTTATTCATTTGTGTATCTTCTCTGGAGAAATATCTATTCAGATTCTATGTACATGTTTTAATTGAGTTGTCTTTTTATTATTTCATTTTAAGAGTTCTTTATGTATTCTAGATACAAGCCCCTTCTCAGATACAGGATTTGCAAATATTTTCTCCAATTATGTGAATTGTCTTTTCATTTTCTATTTTTCAGTTTTGGTGAAATCTAACTTTTGTTGCTTGTCCTTATGATGTCATATTTAAGAAACCATAGCCTAATCCATGGTCACAAAGCTTTACTCCCTCCTATGTTTTCTTCTATGAGTTTTAGCTCTTAAATTTTAAGTCTTTGAAACATTTTGAGTTAATTTTTTTATATAGTATGAATTAGGGATCCAACTTTGGCATGTGTATATCTTGTTGTCTCAGCTTCATGGTTGGAAAGACTTCTTTCCCTGAAATTGTTTTGTCACTCTTGTCAAAAATCAATTAAATCTAAGTGCAAAGGTTTATTATTTCTGACTCTCAGTTCTGTTCCACTGATCTGTGTCTATCCTTATGCCAATACCACACTGTCTTGATTGCTGTAGCTTTGCCATGAGTTTTGAAATCAGCAAGTGTGAGTCCTCCCACTTTATTGTATTTTTCCAGATTGTTTTGGCTATTCTGGACAAACAACATACTCTTTTTTTTTTAATTAAGGTATCATTGATACACAATCTTACAAAGGTTTCACATGAGCAACATGTGATTACAACATTCACCCATATTATGAAGTCCCCCCCCACACCCCACTGCAGTCCCTGTCCATCATAGTAAGACATTATAGAGTCACTACTTGTCTCTTCTGTGCTATACCGCCTTCCCGAGAGCTGCCTGCGTTATGTGTGCTGATCATAATGCCCTTTAATCCCCTTCTCCCTCCCTCCCCACCTACACTCCCCTACTCCTTCCCTTTGATAACTGCTAGTCCCTTCTCCATGTCTGTGAGTCCGCTGCTGCTTTGTTCCTTCAGTTTTGCTTTGTTATACTCCACAAATGAGGGAAATCACTTGGTACTTGTCCTTCTCCACCTGGCTTATTTCACTGAGCTAATACCCTCTAGCTCCATCCATGTTGTTGCAAATGATAGGATTTGTTTTCTTCTTATAGTGGAATAATATTCCATTGCAAACAACATATTCTCAAGACACACTTGTTGCCTGGTCACTTGCTTTCCTGTTTCCTTGATGGCTAGCAAGCTTGTGTGAGCCAGGCTGGCCTTCAAGGTTAGGTGAAAAATTCCTCCCCCTACTCTTCAGACTCCCCTTCAAAAGGCATTTGGCCAAGAGATCATTCTGCTTGAGCTGTCTTAGTCCAGGTCAAAAGTAGTAAAAGAGGGAACTTGGTGGGGTGCATCTGGCCCCTCAAGCATAAGATCTAAATCCAACTAATCTTCCCCTGAGAACCCCACCACCATCAGTTTTCCTTCCCCTTACCTCCTCCTCTTCAGGGTCAGTGGTTTGGATGGTTATAATTCTCTCTAGATCCACTTCTAACCAAATCACACCATCTCTCCTCTCATGTCCTCTGTCATTCCCTGTCACTCTGGTGCCTATCCTAAGCATGATTCATGGCAAAATGGTGTGGGATAGGGGATATCTATCCTGTCAGGTGGGCAGGTGAGGCAGTCTGGCCTCTCTGGTCCCTCCCTGTGTTCTTTTTGGACCTAACAGGAGTGTTACCTGAACTGCAGACACTGATTTTGCTAGTGGATGAAATGTTTTGCCCTGTGGAGCTTTCAGTTCTTGCCTTAAGGAGACCAAAAAGGGGTGGGGTGGGGAGACGAGAAAATGTAGGTAGATTTTCCTGAAAAAAAAAAGAAAAAGATACAAAAAGAAGGTAGATTTTTCTGAAATGCTTCAAGATAAGCTGATCTGCTGCTGGTGCCACAATACCAAGGGCTCAGAGCTTTGACCTTTTTTCAAAATATGTCCCCCAGCTGGGTACATTTTTAATGAATAAAAGTAATAAAACTGGGGTGTTGGGAGTGTCTGTCCATTGCCTCCCTGCAGGGTGGAGAGCAGCTTATGCATTGAGGTAGACCTACTCAGTGCCAAATACGGGAATGTGGACTTGTTATCCAACCTCAATGAGCACAGCTTCCTCGTTTATTAAATAAAGATAACCTCCCTCATGGTGACAGGAGCAAAAGGGTTCAATAGAAGGAAAGAGTTCATTATTACCAACAATAATATCCATTAAGCATTTATTCAATGCTTTCTTTATGGCAGTCCCCATGTTATGTTTAAATTAAATCAAGTGAGGTAAAGGAAAAAATGTCATGATCTCCAGAGCCATAAACTGGAGTGTTTTGAGCATGTGCTATGTGTCTAATCCTTTGCTGATTTTCATATGTATTTTCAATTCTTTGAGGTTCAAAAGATGCCAGTTAAATTCTAAACCAGTTGAGAAATTTGGAGAGTCAAGTAGAGATAAAAATACAGACTTTTACTGTAAAGGCAGGACCAACATATGGCTGAGACCTATAGCCAAATGCATCTTCACCCCCTCCTCCTTCCCCACCTCCATCCTCTTTTTCTGTTTCCCAGTTTAAATCCTGGCGCCAGGTTGCAGAGCCAACAGCATGGGGAGTAGGGGCACTGTGGGGCCAGTCTCCTGGGTGTTGATTTGGGCTCTGAGGATGGCAACATGTGTCCTTTGGCTGCATCCATGAGTCAAGGCTATGCTCTGTGGGTAGCCCTGCACCTGCTTAAGGGTCACCAATCCTGCTTATCTCACTATATAGACCTATGGGTCTGGAATGTTGGTGCTAATTCTCCAAGTCTGTGCTCTTCATGCACGATGAAACTTGTTGCAAATCTGATTTCTTTGTCGCCACTTGAAGTTCTATGACTATACAAGTGGGTTACTCTATCTGAGCCTTAAATTCCTCATCTGTGGGATGGTAATATCCAACCATGTTGGGCATGTTGGAGGATGTTGGAGGACTGGAGAAAAAATACTTAGTTAAGGCCTGGCACATAATAGGCCTCCAGTGGCACCATCCCACTAAGCCTGGTTCAAAATCCTGGGGTACTCAGCCTTCCAGTCTGGACTCTGAGGCTTTTCCTAGTCTGCTGAGCACACCTCTTTTGGGTCCAAATGATGAGGGCCATGTCTGTGTGCTAGAATTGGAGATGTGGACTTGGGAAAGATGAGGTCTCAACAGAATTGGGTCATTGAAAGACTGACTTGGTGCACAGATAGATCTCCAGAGAGGTTCACTGTCTTTGTTGGGGGAGTTTAGTCCCATGTTTCAGGTCTCCTCCAGGTTGTGGGTAGGAGGGGCAGGGTTGTTAGCAGAAGTGTCAACTCCCGAGCCCCCTTTCAAACCCATATTTAGGATGTCTGAGGCAAAAAGGTGAAGTAAGTGATGGTTTCTCCAAGCCACCTACTTCCTCTTTCTGCACCCCGTTCTATTCTTTCAGCTCCTCCCCCAGCCAGCTAGGAGGACAAGTGTCTAAAAAGTGAACTCTAAGACAGAGGGCAGCAAAACAGCCAAATCCAACCCACCACCTGTTGTTGTGTGGCGTGTTTTTACATTTTTAAATATTTGGGGGAAAAACACATGAAGATTATTTTGTGACATGAGAAAATTATGTGAGGTTCAAATTTTATTGGAACATACATAAAGTTTTATTGGAACACAGCCACAACCATTTGTTTACATATGGTCATGGCTGCTTTCATCAGAGTTGAATAGTTGTGACAGAGGCCTGAAGACCTGCAAAATCTAAAATATATACTCTCTTTCCCTTTAGTAAAAAGTTTGCTGATGCTCTGTTCTGAAATATTAGGGACTTAATATATTATGTGGCCAACAAAATGTACTTTCAGAGAAATGGGACAAACCAATGGAATTTGGGCATTGTGGCAAGCCTTCAAAGGAAATAGCTTTCCTGATATCCTTCCAGTTACACTAGACAGACTGAGGGGAGATAAATGTCTAGTCCTGTAAGTGAGTTTGCGTCTGTCCACACTGGAATAGGAGGCATGGAAATGGTGGTGTTCAGGCCTATGACTCATTCTAGCTGTGTAGACAGCAGGCCTCAGGAGTGTATTAATAACCTTTAGTGAGCCTCTCCTCCCAGCTTCCCTGCCAGGCTGGTGGCAGTGATTTTACCTGAGGCCCTTCACATTCCCAGAGTTCTGCAGAGCATCCCTGGGCTGGCCCCAAGCAGCACATTCATTGTTTGCCTCTCTCTTGTTTCCACAGAATTTGCCTTCTGCCAGGTAGATGCCTCGATCGCGCTAACTCTGGCCCTGGCTGTGCTCTGTGACCTGCTCAAGCAGTGGGACCAGCTTGAACCTGGACTCCCAGTCCTGCTGGGATGGCTGTTGGGAGAGGATGATGACCTCACAGCCCATGCGGAGAGCACACATCAGGTAATCCTAGGGTTTCAGGGCAGTAGAGGCAGGGTTAGAGTGTCCTAAACCCACTGGTTGTAGCTCTTACAGGCTTACTTGTGCCTAATGTACCTTCTGAAAGTGTGCTTCTGAATGCTCAAATACAGAGAAGTAACTGATTGGCAAAGTCTCCACATGACCATGGCAGCCTGCTGGGAGTGCTGGGGCAGCTTTTAGAGTTCCAGTGGTAAGTCTTCAGATCAGTGGGGGAGAAGACTATGAAAGAGACCCCTTTGTTTCCGAAGCTGGTGAATATGGCCTGCCCCCTACACTCTCCAGATGCCTAACTAAATCCAACAGGTGCATGCAATCCACACAGGGAATGCCCCTTGATTGCCTGGCCCTCGTGGCCAAGCAGGCTGGTGTTCCTGAGCTCCAAATGAAGGTAACAGTTGGTAAGACAGTTCTCAGCAGGTCACTGCTGCCAGGCCACTGCACAGACAACAGACTGAATTGTACACCTGCTTGACCTTGCTACAGCTAGATGTGGCCTCCCAGAAAGGAGCTTATAGGTTCATCTAGAGCCCTGATTTTTGCAACTGTCGCCCAGGGGACTCCTCCAGATCTCCTGGAGGCCAGAAGGGATTACAGTTGCAGCCCCGCAGGACTATATATTTGCATACTTTAAAAGCTCTGGCTTCCAATCAGCCTGAAAGTAGGTACTAAATGAGATTCTTTCCTGTGGAACCACTGACAAGTCTTAACATACCCACAACAATGGGGACATATTAAGAAAAAATCAGATAGTTTAGGCAATCACAAAGGTTTGAGAGACTAGCTAGAACTAGGGCAAGGTTAGAGAAGGTTCATCATATACACAAGGCCACTCCTTCAAGACTGAGAGAGGTAGCTGCTTTGCCTAATACACAGAAACAAACACAGTCAAGCAAAAGGAGGAAACAAAGAAATATGTTCCAAACAAAAGAACACAAAACCTCAGAGTAAAAGACCTTAATGATAGAGAGATAAGTGATCTACCTGATGAATAATTCAAAATAATGGTCATAGAGATGTTCACTGAGTTCAGTAAAAGAATGGATGAACACAGTGAGAATGTCAACAGAGACAGAAAATATAAGTACCAAATGGAAGTCACAGAGCTGACAAATAACTAACTGAAAATACACTAGAGGGGTTCAGCAGTAGACTGGATGAAGCAGAAGAACAAATCAGTGTGAGCTGGAAGACAAATCAATAAAACTCACCCAGACAGAGAAGCAAAAAGAAAAGAAGAATTAAAAAAAGATAAGTGGAATAGCTTTCACATTATTATAGGGTCCCAGAAGAAGAAAGAGAAAGGAGCAGAAAACTTAGGTGCAGAAATAATGGCTGAAAAATTCCCTGACCTAGGGAAGAAAACAGACACCCAGGTAGTTCCAACTAAGGTGAACCCAAAGAAATCTACACCAAGACACATTATAATTAAAATGTCAAAAGTTAAAGATAGAAGAATCTTAAATATATATATATATATATATATATATAAAGATTCAGAAAATTTAGTAAGAAATAAAATCTCACAACAAAGTAAAAAAAAAAAGAATCTCAACAGCAACAAGAGAAAAACAATTGTTCCAAACAAGGGAAACTACATAAGACTATAGGTAGATTTTGCAGCAGAAACCTCGTAGACCAGAAGGGACTGGCATGACATATTAAAAGTGTTGAAAAGAAAAAAGTTCCAACTAAGAATATTGTACCTGGCAAGATTATCATTCCGAATTGAAGGAGAGATGAAGAATTTTTCAGACAAGCAGGATCTAAAGGAATTCATCACTACTAAATCAGCCTTACAAGAAATGTTAAGGTACTTCTTTAATCTGAAAAAAAAAATCATTAATTACATGTAATTAATTAATGCACTCATTAATTACATGTAAACATATGAAAGTAAAAATCTCACTGGAAAAGGTAAGTAAAGGTAGTGGATTAATCACTTATAAAGCTAGTATGAAGGTTAAAAGGAAATAATAGTAAAATTAAAACTACAATAATTAGTTAAGGTATAAATAAAAAGATGAAAAATGTAACATGAAAAACAAAACACTGGTTGGGAATAGGAAGAATAGTTTTAGAATGTGTTCAAACTTAAGATGCTAACAACTTAAAATAGGCCATAATATACATAGGATGTATATATGTGGACTTCACAATAACCACAAACCAAAAATTCATAGTAAAAACACAAAAGAAAATGAGACAGGAATCTAAACACAACACTAAAGAAAGTCATCAAACCAGAAAGGAGGAAAGAAAGAGAAGAAAGTAACAGAGAAAAACTACAAAAACAATCAGAACACAATTAAAAAAATACCTATAAACATTATTTTAAATGTAAATGAACTAAATTCTCCATCAAAACATATATAGAGAGGCTTTATTGGATAAAAAAACAAGACTCATCTATATACTGCCTACAAGAGATTCACTTCAGAAATAAGAACACACACAGACTGAAAATACAGAGAGGAAAAAAGTGTTCCATGCAATTGGAAGTGAAAAAGCAGCTTTATACCTATCAGACAAAATAGACTATAAAACAAAGACTATAAAGGACAAAGAATGGTACTGCATAATGATAAAGAGGTCAATCCAGCAAGATGATATAACATTTATAAATATATATGCACCCAACATAGAAGTACCAAGATTTATAAAGCATATATTAACAGACACAAAGGGAAAAATTGACAGCAATACAATAATAGTGGGGGAATTTAACACCCCAATTATATCAATGGATAAATCATCCAGACAGAAAATCAATAAGGAAACATCAGCCTTAACACATTAAGACCAGATGGACTTAATAAACAGAACATTCCATCCAAAAGCAGCAGAATACACATTCTTCTCAAGAGCACATGGAACATTCCCCACAATAGATCATGTTAGGCCAAAAAACAAGTCTCAATAAATTCAAGATTGAAATCAAGCATCTTTTCCAACCACATGGTATGAAACTAGAAATCAATTACAAGAAAAAAGCTGGAAAAACTACACATATATGGAGATTAAACATGTTACTGAACAACTACTGGGTCATAGAAGAAATAAAAAATTTCCCAGAGACAAATGAAAACAGAAATAAAACATACTGAAATCTATGGGATGTAGCAAAAATGGTTCTAAGAGGAAAGTTAATAGCAATACAGGCCTACATCAAGAAACATGAGCAATCTGAAATAAACAATTTTAACTCTATTCCTAAAGGAACTAGAAGAAGGACAAATGAAAGCCAAATTTAGTAAAAGGAAGGAAATAATAAAGATCAGAGTGAAAATAAATAGATTTTAAATGGACAATAGAAAAAACGTCAATGAAATTAAGAGCAGTTTCTTTGAAAAAATAAGCAAAATAGACAAACCTTTAGCGAGACTCACCAAGAAAAAAAGTGAGCTCAAATAAATAAAATTAGAAATGAAAGAGAAATTACAACCAATAGCACAGAAATACAAAGGATCATAAGAGTCTACTGCGAACAATAATACATGAACAAAGTGGACAACCTAGAAGAAATGGATAAATGCCTAAAATTTACAGATTTCCAAGACCAAGTATGAAGAAACAGAAATTTTAAATAAACTAATTATTAATAAGGAAATTGAATCAGAAACAAAACCCTTCCAACAAACAAAATTCCAGGACCATGTAGCTTCACTGGTGAATTCTACCAAACATTAAAGGAAGATGTAATACCTGTCTTTTTCAAATTCTTCCAAAAATTGAAGAGGAGGAAATGCTTCCAAATGCTTTTGATAAGGCCAGCATTACCCTAATACCAAAACCAGACAAGGACACCACAAAAAAAAATTAAATTGCAGGCCAGTATTTCTGATGAACATAGATGTAAAAATCCTCAACACAGCAAACCAAATTCAACAATACATTAAAAGGGTCATATACCATGATCAATTGGGATTTATTCAAGAGATATAAGGATGCTTCAGCATCTGCAAATCAATCTGTGATATACCACATTAACAAAGTGAAAGATAAAAATGATATGTTCATCTCAATAGATGAAAAAAAAAGCATTTGACAAAATTCAACATCCATTTACAATAAAAACTTTCAACAGCATGCAAGGATGGCCACTCCACCCACCTTTATTCAACATAGTATTGGAAGTCCTAGCCACAGCAATTAGGCAAGAAAAAGAAGTAAAAGGCATACAAATTGGAAAGGAAGAAGTAAAACTCATTATTTGCAGATGGCATGACACTTTATATAGAAAAACCCTAAAAACTCCACCAAAAAACTGTTAGAACTAATAAGTTCAGTAAGATTGCAGGATACAAAATTAATATACAAAAATATGTTGAGTTTCTATATACTAATAATGAACAAAAAGAGAAATCAAGAAAACAGTCCCATTGACAATCCATCAAAAAGAATAAAATTCCTACAAATAAATTTAACCAAGGAGATGAAAGAGCTGTACACTAAAAATTATAAAACACTGATGAAAAAAACTGAAGAAGGTACAAATAAATGGAATGATATTCTGTACTCATAGATTAGAAAAATTAATATTGTTAAAATGTCCAGCTATATTCTGTAGTATGTCCAATCTACAGATTCAGTTCAATCCCTATTAAAACTCCAGTATCATTTTTCACAGAACTAAAATAAATGACTCTAAAATACATATGGAATCCCAAAAGATTCCAAATAGCCAAAACAATCTTGAGAAAGAAGAACAAACCCAGAGGTATCACACTCCCTGATTTCAAACTATACTATAAAGCATTAGTAATCAAAAGAGTATGGGTTTGGCACAAAAACAGATGAATGGAACAGAATAAAGAACCCAGAAATAAACCCATGTATATACATGGGCAGTTAATTTTCAACAGAGGATGCAAGAATATACAAGGGAAAAGGGACAGTCTTTTCAATGGTGTTAGGAAAACTGGACAGCTACAGGCAAAAGAATGAAACTGGATCACTGTTTGACACCATATACAAAAATTAACTCAAAATGGATTAAAGAGTTAAATGTAAGACGCAAAACCATAAAACTCCTAGAAGAAAACATAGGCAGTACATCCCTTGACATTGGTCTTAGTGATATTTTTGTGAATCTGACTCCAAAGGCAAGAGAAACAAAAAGCAAAAAATCAACAAGTGGGACCACATCAAACTAAAAAGCTTCCACATAGTTAAGGAAGCCATCAACAAAACAAAAACCTACTGAATGGGAGAAATTTGCAACTCACATATCGAATGAGGTGCTAATATCCAAAATATACAAGGAACTCATACAACTCAATAACAGAAAAGTATAAAGTCTGATTTGCACATGAGACATTATTCCAAAGAAGACATACAGATGGCAACAGGCATATGAAAAGATGCTCAACATCACTAATCATCAGGGAAATACCACAATGAGACATCACCTAATGCCTATCAGAATGATTATTATCAAAAAGACAAGAAATAGCAAGTGTTGGTGAGGATGTGGAGAAAAGGCAACCCTTGTACACTGTTGGTGGGAATGTAAATTGGTGCAGACACTATGGAAAACAGTATAGAGGTTCCTCAAAAAATTAAAAATAGAACTACCAAATGATCAAGCAATTCCACTACTGGGTATCTTACCTAAAGAAAACAAAAACACTAATTCAAAAAGACATATACACCCCTATGTTCATTGCAGCATTACTTGCAATAGCTAAGATACGGAAGTGAGTTTAAGTGCCTATCAGTAGGTATATGGATAAAGATGTGAGAGGTGTGTGTGTGTGTCTGAACACACACACACACACACACACACACACACACACACACACAAATCTCAATAGACTGCTACTCAGCCATAAAAAAGAGTAAAATCTTGCCATTTGCAACAACATGGATGGACCTTAGTGTATTATAGTAAATAAAAGCAAGGCAGACAGAGAAAGACAAATCCCACAATTTCACTTACATGTGGAATCTTCAAAAAACAAGAACAAAACAAAACAAAACAAAATCTGGACTAACGGATACAGAGAACAGTTGGTGGTTGCCAGAGGGGAGGGGGACTGAGGGGGTACAAAATGGGTGAAAGGGATCAAGAAGTAAAACTTCCCTTATATAATAAATGTCATGGAGATTAATGCCCAGCATGGAGAATACAGTCAATTGTATTGTATTAACTTTATAGGGTGACAGATTGTAACTAGACTTATTTTGGTAATCATTTTGCAGTGTATACAGATGTTGCTTCACTGTGTTGTGCGCCTGAAACTAAATATGTCAGTTTTACCTCAATTTATAAAAATAGAAAGAGACCCTTTGAAAGTTGAGAGTTCAATTATGGTGACTGCTTATTGGTCAGCATTGGAGTAGCTAGGAGCCCCCACAGTTAGGACTGAAGGTGAAACATTTACAGAGAATCAGGGTCCTTCCAAGGTTATTTACTGCTAAAAGAAAACTATTAGCCTCCTCATGTAGGGGAGGCAAATGAGATAGGGATATCGAGGACCAAGACAAGTAGCAAAAGTATCTTGAGAAAGGAAAGCCATATCCACCAGTGTATGACTCAGCTGGCCTTCTTGGCATCCCGAGCAGGCCAAGAGTTCAAAAAGCAGCCTGTTTATGGGAAATTTGGAGACAAGATAAAGTGTCTGTGATAAAATGACCTTGAACATCCCCAGCATTATAGAAATTTGATTTCATACGCAGAGAGTAGTGTCTCGTATTTGGTAATTCTTTGTTCTTTGTACTGCTGCTGAGATTCCCCTTCCTCCCTTCTCTCTGATTTCTGGCTGCATCATTAGGTCTAGGGCCCATTCCCATGTTTTGGTCCCCTTTTCAGCACCAGGCCCCCTAAATGTCTTGGCTTGGAACCGCAAACATATCTTTATCAAAGGTCATGTTAAGTCTGGGGAAGAAAATTCCTCTTTGGTGGAGAAGTATACCAACTAAAAATAGAGGTGACCTTCAGGTTCCAAGTGGTGTGTACATGTGGATGTTAGCTGGCGAGAGTGGGCCTTCTGCCAGGTCGGGGAGAGGACATACCTCTTCTGCATCTGGCAGGACTCTGGTCTAGACTGGCTTGTCACTATTACCTGTAAGGCTGACTTTGGGCTTTTTCATTTGATTTAGGTGGAAGAAGACTACCTGTTTGAAAAAGCAGAAGTCAACTTTTGGGCTGAGACCCTAATCTTCGTGAAATACCTCAACAAGCACATTCTCAGTCTCCTCTCCAAGTCCAGCTGGCATCCCCTCAGCCCTGAGAGGCTCCGTCATTTTCAAAGGACAGCGTCAGAGCAGTACCATCTCCTTTCTCAGCTCTTCAGAGAGCTGCCCCCACCTGCTGAGTTTTTGAAGACAGTGGATTTCATGAGACTGCGCATTCAAGAGGAAAGGACTTTGGCTTGCCTGAGGCTGCTGGCCTTTCTGGAAGGAAAGGAAGGGGCAGACATCCTAGTTCTCAGTGCTTCCGACTCTCCTACAGAAGTCAATCAGTTAACTCTTCAGAGAACAGAAGCGGCATTTTGAAGAAAGACAACTTTTGGGGATAGAGTAGGGGTGGGTTATTCCCCAACTAAATCTACGGGAAACGTTGGACATAAGTTGAAATATTTTCTCCCGTTCATGAGTTTGGTTTTCTGTGAGTCTAGTCTTCTGTCCCTTCTTACAGAGGAATTTTTCTTCAGCTCACTCATGCAAAGCAGCCCGGTTTATTGCAGCTACTGTAGGAAGTGAGGCTACCACACTGAATATTCACTCTGTTTCCAGGTGCAGGCCACCTGTGGGTCTGAATGAGCCATTTTCTTCCCACAGGATCTCTAATACCCAGGCATAGCTGGCCTGCACTTTCTGTGAATCGACTATACAGAATAGTGTTTGAACACGTGATTTTCCCCCACTTTTTTTGGCTGGATGTAGGAGCTGGAGTAGTTGGCAAGCAGCCCATTTGGTCAGAATTCCAAATTTAATTCCATTTTAGCTAAGGCAGAAATGTTCCAAATGTTGGATCCTGGGAGAATTAAGGATCAACTTCACACAAATAGTTTTGTTTTTACTATCTTCTTGTTAAGTCCTGAAGTGTCCTACACATGCCATTCTAATTATTAAGAAGCCATTGAAGGGTCCTATCTCTTAAAAAAGTATTTGTGCTAATGCTAGGAAATCTGATTTTTGTTACCCAGTGAAGCATCAACTCTTGGCTGTTAGAAGGAAACTGGGGCAACAAGAGCCAGAATAAATGATTTATTTGATACCTCCACTGTTTACTATCATTTTCTTGGTGGCAATAACAAGAAGATTCTGAGTTAAGATACCAGAAAGCACATTTATCCATTTCAGTGATTTAATCTGGAAACCTTGAGGGCCCTCTGCCTTTCTAAGCCCAGCCCAGCCCTCTTCCTCAGACACCCAGCAGGTGTCACTCTTGCATACATTTTGCTGCCGGTCCTGTTTCTCATTGACTTGCTATTTTTTATTTATAATTTCAGAGTTAATACCCACACACAATTATCTTGAAATTCATAGCTTGTAGCCTCATCCACATTTATCATCCTAGTTATCTGAAAAAGCCATTTCAGCAGTAATATATAAACTTGGTCTAGCTTTTAGGGTCTATAAGTATTTTTAAATACTCAGGTATGCAGTCACTCAGACTTATTTTATTGATGTTTGAGGGTCTTTAGGGGCAGTTTAGAAGAGAGAGCGTTTTATATGGTCATTTCTTTCTGCAGAAAGACATATTTCAAATATAATTTGTTTCTCTTTGAAAGAAAACCACCCAACACTAAAAACACAGCAGTATTGCAAGCATAAAGGGCTCTGTAGGAAGAGCAGGACGTTTAACTTAGTATCCAAAACTGTGTCCTAAAGAGAACAGGAAATTCCCTGGGTGGTTTTGCATCATTCAGCTCAAAATGTGGTTTTTTGTGATCCTGATTACCTGGTTAGGCATCTGTGTAGCACACACTTGATGGAAAACTGCCAGGCTAACATTTCTTTCTTTTTGTTCTGAAAAGACCTGGCCAGTGAGAAATCAGGTAATTATTGGTGTAGTGTGGTGATAACCATGACAGAATAATGAAATTGGCCCCAGCAAAGTCTAGCTCATTGTAGAAGTCCAGCCTTGCTTTTTCTCCATTTAAAATGAAATAAAAAGTTGCATAATAATAAAAATATTTTATACCAGCAGGTACTCAGTACCAAAACATGTACCATAGCATGTTTACATGTTATCTCCAGAATCCTCACCAGGTCTGCAGAGTGGGTGTTCTTATAGCTATTGACTGGGCATTACCAGATTTTGATTCTGGCTGGCTGTGGCTTGCCTGGGAAGACAGAAGAGACAGATGTTTCCACTGGTTTTGAATCTGAACTCTTGTTACTGACCTCCAATAGCAGTAGCTGGGGAGCTGGCTGTCTCACACTTTGCAGGTACATTCCCAGGGGAAACTCAGAATACCCTGTCAGGGCCACCCTCAAACTCTTGTGGTTTGGGATATTTCAACAACAAAACAGAACAGCCAGGGTTCTTGGGCACTCTGGGCTATGAGTGTCAGCCATAGTTGCTCAGCCCTGACTAGGAGCCAGTGTAGGCTAAGTGTAAGAGTAACTTCTTCTGAAGTCACTGTCATTGGCTCCAAACTGTAGATTTGGTGCCCCCCACCCCCACCTCAGTTCTGGCCCTCCACCCAACTGCCCGTAGTCCAAAGACCTGGCTTTCCTCGTTTTTATGCTTTGTCAATTTAATAAGATGGATTATACTTGTTTATCTTCTAAACACCTTAACAGATAACTCACACTTGTGCCTTGACAAAGACAAGAGATGAGTAAAGCAGGAATTGTCATAGTTTTACAAGGAAACCCAAGTACCAAAGAGATCATGTGATTTGTCTAAAATCATATGGCTTATAAGGGGCAGGGCCTTGACTCCAGCTCTGGGTTTCTGATCCTAAAGGTCTTGGGGCCCTACCACAACTCCAGCTCCCAGTGTGGGTGGGAGGGGAGTAAAGCATTGAGAACTGCAGGCAAGTTCGATTCCATGAGTCACAGGCCTGGCTCATTACCTTCTAGGTTAATTCAGAAAGAGGATGAACACGGCAAGAAAATGGACACAAGGAAACGGCGAGAAATAAGTTCAATTTGGGAGGGAGGCATGGGTCGCTTAACTAGCTTCCCGCTCGGGCACTAGACTTTCCAACCTAGGCCCTGTTGCAGCCTAGACTACCAGATGTGCAAAATAATAGGCCCGGCTCCAGATTTTTGGCAGCACATGCATAGGATGATGAGTGAGAAGTGTGCTGGACCAGACTCCAAATCGGCCCTAATGGGGCCATCAGCGGCTTTAGCTTCACTGGGCGCTAGAGGGTGGTGTCTGTCCCATAAGCGGAGGGTGCCTATTGGCAAAGAGCATTTCCCAGAGCAGGCTTTTGGGGTGTCCGGCTGGCGAGAGGAAGAAACGGGGGAGAGCCCACCTTGGGCGTCCTCAGTGCCCAGCTCCGCCTGGCCGCGGGTCTGCCTTAGTCAGACCCGGCGGCCCACACTGAACTAAGGCGGAGCGCGGCGCCGCCCCCAACGGCCGGATAGAGAAGGACCTTAGAGGACGCGCTAAGCCAAGGCTGCGGCGGGCGAGCGGAGAGCCTCCGCTGGCAACTGCACTCCTGGGAGGGCTGGGAAGGCCGGGCCGAGCAGCAGACTGACGGGGTGGCGGTCAGTCGCCTCCGTGCATGCGCGCCTCTCCTGGTCTTTCCTCCGGTCCTCCAAGCCTCCGCCTCCGCCCGGGACGCCCCGCGCCACTCCGCGCCTTTGGCTGTGGCTCAAGGTCTTGTGATGTGATTAGCAAAGCCAGCGCCTTGTCCTCAGACACTCAGCCCTGCCCTGCAGGCCCCGGCGCTCAAGCCCTGTTTACAGCAGCCTGGGCGGGGAGGGGGGCGGAGAAACGGGCCCGGGCTCCTCCGGTCGAGACTGCTAAGGCAGCGGTCCGCGTGGCCGCTCCCACCCCCACCGCGCCTCCACGTGCATTCGCCCCACCCACAGGACTCAGGCCCGGGACCCCGCCCTCCGGCCGGAGCACCTTTTGCAAACGAGCCGAGCCACACTGAATGTTGCGAATTCTTGCATTTTGCAATTCCCGCGCCCAGTGTAAAACCAAGGGTGGGAAGTAAGAGCTCTACAACTTCGCCCAGCAGGATCGGGCGGGGAAGACACGTCCAGTGCTGCAGAACGCCGATCACGTTAAACGTGCTGGGGAACCGTATCTTCCCGCCACCACCCAACAGCACTCATCTGCGCCGAACTCTCCACGTCGCCCCGGGCGCCCAGGCAGCCTGCCCCGCCCCTAGGCCTCTCCGCCCCCACCCCCAGATGAAAAAAATTGGCGGCGGCCAATGGGAGGCCAGAAAGGCCCCTGACGTCCGCGAGCCGCGGGCGGCGTTGCCTGGAGACCCCAGCCAGGTCAGCGTTCTCTCCCCTCCCCCGGCACGCCTGCCCAGCGCTGCCGCGCTCCCGGGCTCTATATAGGGCGCGCGCTCGCGGCCCGCCGAGTTCCAGCAGTTCGCGAGCTGCCGTCGGCTCCGCGCGGGGGGGGGGCCGGCAGGGCACCCTGGGGCGCGGAGGAGCGCTCTTTGCTCTCTTTTCCCCCCACTCCGCACTCCTGGGCACTCTCAAGCCAGACCACGCTGCTTCCCTCTCCCTCTTTTATCGTCCCCCAGCAAACTTTCGGTCTCTCCCCTACCTCACCCGTTATTCGTCGTGGCTCGAGCCCAGCTGCGCCACCCCGAGGGCTCCTCCGGACCTCCCTGCTTGCAATTCCGACCATTACAGGAACCAGAAACATGTCGACCACACTTCTGTCCGCCTTCTACGATATCGACTTCTTGTGCAAGGTACGCAGGGAAGCAGGGAGGCTGGAAGGAGGGCAGTCAGGACTCCCTTAGAATTTTGAGATTTTGCATTGTGCCCTCGGCTTTTGGGGAGGGGGAACCCCTTCCCGAATCCTAAGAGTTTTGCAGTAGTGTGTGCTCGTGTCGTGTGGGCGGGGAGAAGGAGTCCAATGGAGGGAAGGGCTGGAGGGAGACACCGTAGCTGTTTTCCCGTAGCCGACTGCGGCCACGCTGCCCAGGGCTTCCCGGACAGGCTTTGCGCCGCCCAGGCCGGCGGCCCACGGGATGAGGATCACATGTTGAAACCGAGCGCGGCCTAGGGTGGGAATCTGGCACCTCCCAACACGAACTTGATTCCTTTGCGGGTGTTTGGGTAGAAGTTGGGGGCCGAGTCGAAATCCGCGAAAACGAAAAGAAATCAGAAGGCCGGAAGTTAACTCTGCAACTCGCCCCAACTCTTCCTTCTCTCCCCTTTCTTTTTTTAATCTCTTCCTCGCTCCCCTCCTTTTGGCAGACAGAGAAATCCCTGGCCAATCTCAATCTGAACAATATGCTGGACAAGAAGGCGGTGGGGACGCCTGTGGCCGCCGCTCCCAGCTCGGGCTTCACCCCGGCCTTCCTCCGACGGCATTCGGCCAGCAACCTGCACGCGCTCGCCCACCCCACGCCCAGTCCCGGCAGCTGCTCGCCCAAGTTCCCGGGCGCGACTAACGGCAGCAGCTGCGGCGGCGGGGCGGCGGGTGGCGCGGTCTCCTACGGCACCCTCAAGGAGCCGTCAGGGGGCGGCGGCACGGCCCTGCTGAACAAGGAGAACAAGTTCCGGGACCGCTCGTTCAGCGAGAACGGCGAGCGCAGCCAACACCTCCTGCACCTGCAGCAGCAGAAGGGGGGCGGCGGCTCCCAAATCAACTCGACGCGCTACAAGACTGAGCTGTGCCGGCCCTTCGAGGAGAGCGGCACGTGCAAGTATGGCGAGAAGTGCCAATTCGCACACGGCTTCCACGAGCTGCGCAGCCTGACGCGGCACCCGAAATACAAGACGGAGCTGTGCCGCACCTTCCACACCATCGGCTTCTGCCCCTACGGGCCGCGCTGCCACTTCATCCACAACGCCGACGAGCGGCGGCCCGCGCCGTCTGGGGGCGCCTCCGGAGACCTGCGCACCTTAAGTGCGCGCGATGCGCTGCACCTGGGCTTCCCACGGGAGCCAAGGCCCAAGCTACACCACAGCCTCAGCTTCTCCGGCTTCCCGTCGGGCCACCACCAGCCCCCGGGGGGACTCGAGTCGCCACTGCTGCTCGACAGCCCCACGTCGCGTACACCGCCACCACCCTCCTGCTCTTCGGCCTCCTCCTGCTCCTCGTCCGCTTCCTCCTGCTCGTCGGCTTCCGCTGCCTCCACACCCTCCGGTACCGCGACGTGCTGTGCCTCCGCGGCGGCCGCAGCCGCAGCCGCGCTACTGTACGGCACCGGTGGCTCCGAAGACCTGCTGGCGTCTGGTGCTCCGTGCGCCGCCTGTTCGTCGGCCTCGTGCGCTAATAACGCCTTCGCCTTTGGCCCGGAGCTGAGCAACCTCATCACGCCGCTTGCCATCCAGACCCACAACTTCGCTGCCGTGGCCGCCGCCGCCTACTATCGCAGCCAGCAACAGCAGGGCCTGGTGCCCCCTGCGCAGCCCCCGGCGCCGCCCAGCGCGCCCCTCCCTGCCAGTGCCGCCGGGCCGCCCTCGCCGCCGTTCAACTTCCAGCTGCCACGCCGCCTATCCGAGTCGCCCGTGTTCGACGCACCCCCGAGCCCTCCGGACTCGCTGTCGGACCGCGACAGCTACTTGAGTGGCTCTTTGAGCTCGGGCAGCCTCAGTGGCTCCGAGTCTCCCAGCCTCGACCCTGGCCGCCGCCTGCCCATCTTCAGCCGCCTCTCCATCTCCGACGACTGAGGCAAGAGGGCGCCAGTGAGGAAAGGAGGAAGGGAAGGCCTTTCTGGGGGTGTTGGAGGGCGCCTCTGCCATCTTGCCCTTGCTAGAGGTTAGGGGGGCGCGGGAGTGGGGGTGACAGGCCCCAAGCAGACTGCTGGCGGCGCCGAGCACTTGGACTCGAACTTGTGTGCAGGAGGGGCCCCCACCTCTCCCCTTTCGGTTTCTTCTTTTGTTTTTTTATTTTATTACAAAGTTTCTTGTTGAGCAAAAAAGAAAGCCAATGAACTTTTTTGTATTGATGAACAAAATATTCATTCACAACAGGGCAGTTGTGATGCGAACAGAACAAAAAAACAAACACAAACTTTTTTAGGTCTCCGATGAGTTTGGGACTTTAGGAGAAATCAACCAGCACCAGCAGCTACCGACCACCATTCCATATCTTCACTTGAAAAGCATTAGTTCCAGTCCAGATGTGGGAACGCGATCTCCAGAGAAGTTCCTAATTGTCGTTTGTCACAGACCAGCCGGACACCACCTTGCTAAACCTAATAAGCTTTTAGAATCCAGTATTCTACCAAGAATATGCCTTGATAGTAGCCCTCAGCTCCATAGGCTGTTGGGTTTTATGTTTTTGTTTTGTTTTTTTAAGTTACAAGTGTCTGGAAAAACACCCTTGCATTCCAAAGTTTCATACTGGTTACTGGTTTCATTGCCACCACTTTGTGGATGTTTAATTTAGAACCATTTTGTCTGCTCTTTCTGGAAGCCTTGGGCAGACCTTAGTTTGTAATTGTTGGGGAATAACTGCTGAATTTTTAGCTGTTTTGAGTTGATTCGCACCACTGCACCACAACTCAATATGAAAAAACTATTTAACTTATTTATTATCTTGTGAAAAGTATACATTGAAAATTTTGTTCATACTGTATTTATCAAGTATGATGAAAAGCAATAGATATATATTCTTTTATTATGTTAAATTATGATTGCCATTATTAATCGGCAAAATGTGGAGTGTATGTTCTTTTCACAGTAATATATGCCTTTTGTAACTTCACTTGGTTATTTTATTGTAAATGAGTAAAAAATCTTAATTTAAGAGATTGTATGTAATATTTATTTCATTAATTTCTTTCCTTGTTTACGTAAATTTTGAAAGATTGCATGATTTCTTTACAGAAATCTATCTTGATGCTGTGGAAGTAGTTTGAGGAATATCTTTTGAGTTTTCTTAGAATGTATAATGGTTGTAGCCCATCCAACTTTTAAAGAAAAAAAGTGACCACATACTTGGAATCAGGCATAAATGTGGCATGCTTTTCTCATTCCAGCTTCATAAATTAGCAAAAAATGTTTTTGTTTGCTTATTCCACCAGTTCTACTGTGACATACTCTTCAAAAGACATGTAGCAATAAGGGGGGGTGGGGGGGGTAGTCTTCACAGTGCCTTTGGAAGGGCCAGAACTTGCCTTAAAGCTTCCTCAACCAAATAAGTATTTTATCTATTAGTGCTTGAGAGAATTTGAATGTAGGATGGGTTCAACTGCACAAAAGGAAAAGATATTTACCACTTTTTTTTATAGATATAAAGTGAAGAGGCCACACCTCTTAGGGCTAAATGGTATGTAGTACATGAATATGCCGCCTTTAATTACAGAAAATTCCAAAACTTGTACTTTTTTTTTTTTTCCGTGTAGAAAGGCAGGAATGGTTTCCTGGACAGTGGATGAATGAGCAGTAGCTTTAGTTTGTACGTAGGTACAGTTGGAGCACTATGTATGTATGTATGTACTCTGGACTACTTTGACAGAAAAGTAGGTTTTTGAATGTAACAATATAAGTCAACTTGAGTTGTAATATATTTTGGGGAATCAGTTCACTACAAATTGTGACTGTAAACATTGTACTGTAAATGTTTTGTAGTTTTCCCCCCAATAAAACTTTTGGGAAAAAAGGTATTAATGGGTAAGATCACTTTCTTTTTTAAAAAATATTAGTAGCCAGCCTCTTCCCATGGCTTTGTCAGGCATTGCCCAGGTCTTGGAGGGATTGGGGGCTTGGATTTAGCTGGCAGAGCCACAGTTCAGAAGAGCCCGCCCCTATGTATTTTATAGCAAGTTCTTTTAGCTGAGGGAAAGTAATTTGGACTGTCAAGGGCATTAGTTGTTTCCCTTGGTAATAAGATGCATCCCAGTGTTGGCTGACTGGCCGGTGGCAGGGCTTGGCTGGGAGGCCTGAAGGGGTGTGGCCCGCCTGTGAGTCACCAAGTTGGTCACATGTCTGCAGTGGCAGCTGAAGGTCCCGGATTTTTTTCTTTGGGATACCCAGGGAATAGAACGGCTTGAGTGGAGAAGGGTGGAGGATGTCAGCCCGTGGCCTGCAGGCCATTAAGGTGATGATCTAGATATGTTGAGGGGTGGGGGGATTAGGCCCTTCCTTGGACGGGTGAACCAGAGTTTTGCTTGGACTTTGGAAAGTCTGGCTGTGTCCTTGAGAGAAGGGAAAGGAAAGATTAAACAGGTTAAACTTATATCTGGGTAATGTTTGTTTATGCGGACAGCTTCCTCTGGGAGTGAGCACACAGTTATTTATGTGAAAGGATTAGCGTCTGCTTTAGACGACTAAGTGGCCAGAAAGCAAATTCAACCCAGGTCTGTAGAAAAAGGAAGTAAAAAAAAAAACCAATTTGCTGATTCTCACACAATTAAATAAAACAAGTATTTTTTTTTCCTGCCATCATTTAAAAAACTTAAAAATCAGGTTCATAAATCAATTCATGTTTTTTCTTCTCTGTCCTACCCAACCCCAGCCCCCCACCACAGTTCAAATACTTCTCCCAAAGTAGGCAAGAGATTTAGCAATAGTTTGTTTTCTTATCTACAACAGCTGGGCTCTATCAACCAATACTTGCATCCCTTCTCTGCCAGGGTCTCCTGTGTCACAGCTGAGCAGGGTGGGTGGGGGGCAGTCTGTGGACCAGGCCTCCGGCAGCTGTTTCACGTTAACGATGATCGGGCTGGCGTTAACTGGAGCGTTTGGGGCCTTGGAGCACGCTGCCAAAGGGGATGGAGAACAGTTTCTAAATTCTCCCAGATGCCTACTCGCTGATGGCCTCAGCGGTGGGGGAGGGGAAGCCTGAGGCCAAGAAGGGCTCAGCCCTCTGAAGACCCTGCAGGCTCCCTGGCCTCTTCCCCATAAAGAATGTGCAACAGGGAGGAAAAGTCTAAAATGTGGTGCTATTTAGGCCAAGCTGCATTGAAAGGCCTTGTTTCCACTTCATTCCAAAACTTGCTTTTCTAAACAAGCACTTTTGATCAGCTGGAATGTTGGACTTCTTTTTGGGGTAAGCCACATTCATTTTTTTTTAACTGGTTTGTTTGAAAGCCCAACTGCTAGGATCTGATGTTTTGTATTTTAAGATCCAGTGGAGCGTGGAAAGCTGGGGGATCATTCAGAAATTTCCTCATGCTGCAGATCAATGAAGGGTATGTAGGTCATTATCTTTCTGCATCAGCTGGAATTAACAGCAAACAAAACTCTCTGCTATTGCTTGATCACCCTTAGGAAAGTTGTCTTGTAAATTAAGGGAACTAGAAGTAAAAATTGCAAGTAAGAACAAGCCTGGATTCCTATCATAGGCTGAGGAACAGAACTAAAACTGGCCCCATTACTGCCTTACACTCAAGATGAAATTCTTTGTAGTCAGCTGTAAAAATGGGCCCAGAATGTAATGGTGTTCACAGTGTCTTAATAATTTCCACTGGCTGTTTGAAAACTAAGGTGTTTTTTAAGGCACCCAATTAGATGTGCCACTCCCTAAATTATTTCAGAGAAGGGATGCATGCATGTCCATATTTTCCACCCCTCACTCTGTCTGAATCTACTGCTGAGTGTATAAAAAGGAAAAAAAGACACACACAAAAAGCTATTGAGAAGGCCAAAGCTCTGAACCCACCCATGGGAGGAGATGGAGGACTGTGAACCCTGCAGCGGCTCAGGAGCCCGAATGAAAGGGCCAGGCCCAAGATGGCCCAATGCAGGAGGGACAGGCAGGCATAGCTCTTGGCTGCAGGTCTGGCCCAGCACTGAAACGCTCAGTGCTAAGATCTGCCTGGGGTCTCAGAAAACCTCCAGGCTAGATGTGTGCAGGGAAAGCCTACAAGAGAGCCTTTGACCCTGGAAGCGAACCATCCCCAGGCACCTGCTCTCCTTCAGTGTTGCTTGTTATAATGCAAGGGAGGGCAGATGTGACTGCCTTCTTGAAAGCAGGAGTTGGGTCTCTGTGCCTTCCCTGCCTTGTGAGATGGGGGGAGCCGACGCAGCCCGTGGAGGCTGAGCCTTGGCCAGGCTTACCTCCCTCAGGGCTCTGTAGCCACTCTCCATTGCTGTTACCTCACTTAATTGTGTTTCTTTTTCTTCTTCACGCTCTAGGGTATGTGCAGACTTGTGGCCATCCAGAGCAGTTCCAGTATCCGCCACTGGCAAGGCCAAGGAGTGGGAAGGAAGACAGGGGAGACCTGGGAGGAGTCAGGGCCTGGCAGCTGGGTAGGCCTGCCCAGGAGGAGCCCTGCCGGAATGGGGGTGGGGGAAGCCACAGCGCCTGCAGGGCCCACCCTCCTAGGTGGGTTCTCCATTCTCTCCTCATAGTTTTTGCTACACCTAGAAAGCAAATACATGTGGGGTGTCTATGTGTATGTGTAAGAAGGTCTGTGTGGGTGTGTCCATGTGAAGGGTGTCTGTGCATGTGTCCATATCCTTGTCTGCCTAGGTGGGTGTGCACATGTTTGTGGGCATTGCTCTGTGTGCGGGGTTCAGGGGTCTCTGTGTATGGTGTTATAGGGGGGTGCTGGTGTATGAGGCTGTGTCTGTGGGTTGTGTGGATCTATGTGGCTGTCGATACATATGTGGGGTATGTAGGCCTGTAGAATGTGAGAGTCTGTAGGTGTGTGTGGAACTCTGTGAGTGGGAGTGTGGGTTGAGGGTGCCTGTGTGTGGGTGCATGGGTACAGGTACGCCCACTGCTGTGAGCAGGTGTGTCCGTGTAGCTGTTGCTGTTGCTGTCTGGTAGGTGTGGGGGTCTGTAGAATTCGAGCAAAGATCTGTAAGTGTTGTATGTTTGGGTCTAGATGTATCTGTTGGGGGGGGTTGTCTCTGTGGGCATGGGGGTGTTAACAACACCTACAGAGGAAAAGCAGCCCGTTTTAGCAGGCCTCTTTCAAGTTAAAAACTGCTTTCAAAACCCGGAAATGGTAACCAAGCTGTCATCGGCTTCCTACAGGGCAGTAGGCAGAACAGGACTGAGCTGAGGGGTGGCAGACAGGCCTTCAGGTCTGCAAGGACCCCAGATCCACCTTATTGCTGAGCACACCTGCCAAGGACAGGCCTCCTGGGCTTGACTGCAGGGACATAGTTAGAAACAATTCTCTGGTTGGAGGGGAAAGGGCTCTTTTATTTTCCTACATACAGAAATAGCTCTTGTCAGATAGGAGCTCTTGTGCCCTCTGGGGTGAGAGGCAGCTCTGAAATAGAAGGAAAGATACTAAAAATTTCAGACAGACAAGAGAACTCCTGAGCTCACTGAAACCAAGTTTAAAATATTTCTGTAAAAATAAGCTTTGTTTTCCTTGTGGATTCCTCTGGCAATCAGGCCCTTGTGTCAGGGTGCTTAGCTGGCCTGGGGAGTCAGGCAGAATTTTTTTTTAAGTGTTTCCCAGCCATAGCCTTGGAACATTCTTTGTTTTTCATGTATTAAATTCCTAGTTTCTGGCTAATTAAAATCACTTTCAAATGAAATTTTGTGGTCCAGCAACATTTGATGAAATACAGAATCCCTGGTGATGCCTCTGTAGGAGGTCTGGCTGTGGAGTGGCCTGCGACCCCCCTCCCCTGGTCACCAAGCTGGTTTTATGGGGAGGAGGGATCATTTGAAATGCAGTCCCAGAGACTTGTCTTACCAAATCCCATCACCCTATGGTGACAGGGGTGAGGGGCTGCTTACAGGGCAGTTTCTGAGCCCTGGACCACTTGAGAAGGGGCTGTGTGGCCATTAGCAAGCTGCTATTTGTTTCTCTGCACCACTGAGCAGAGGGGAGAGGAACTTGGCTGAGGTATGTGGCAGTGATCCTGTGCTTCCTGGTTGTCTCTCCCTGGCCTTGCTATGTGAAGAGGTCCAGTCAAGCCAATGTGATGGGACTTTATTGAGCACCAAAGGGATGCCCAGACTCCTAAGGTGACACATTGTAAAGATGGAAATCAGAGATGTAGCAGACCTGGTACACTTCAGACATGCTGGCAGGACTTCCCCCTCACTGCCCTGGGACTCAGTCCAGACATCAAAAGGGTGTTTTTCATTCATCCCACAGACAGTTCTTGACTGTCTAGGAAATACCCATAGTACGGAACAGACATGAGGTGACAGACATCGACACTGGCTTCATGGAGTATACGTAATGTTTCCAAGGTTCATTCATGATGCAGTATAAATCAGCCATATGCAGGATAATATTCCATTGTATGGACATACCACCTTCTCTTTATTCATTCATCAGTCGATAGACACATGAGTTGTTTCCACCTTTTGACTATTGTTGAATAATGCTGCTATGAACATCTGTATACAACTTTTTTATATGAACATATGTTTTCATTTCTTTTGACTATATACCTAGAAGTAATTCTATGTTTATCTTTTTGATGAACTGCCAGATTATTTTCTAAAATGATGTACTGGTTTTTAAAACTGTTAATGTCTGTTTCCCCTACTTGGTCTGAGGCGTGTTCCATGACGTCCCCATAAAATACTGGTACATTTGTTCACAAAACCCAAAAAATGGAAACCACCCAAATGTCCATCAACAGATGAATAAATAAGTAAAAGGTGGTATATCCATACAATGGAATACTATATAGTCGTAGAAAGGAATGAAGTAATGACAAATGTATGAACCCTGGAAAAATT